TTCGGTGAAAAATTCACCGAAAATTCCCCAAATTTTAGGCCTTCCATTAACCGCTTCTCATAGGTCCCAATTCCCTGTACTGTATTCCATGTTCTGCTGCAGCACGAGTACTGCTTCTGCTGCTTCAGCAGATGTTGCTCAGCTGCAGCATTGCAGTAGCTGCTGCAGCGCGATAGCTGCTGCAGCACGATAGCTGCTGCAGCGCGATAGCTGCTGCAGTAAAAGCAGTTCTGCTGCAGCAGCAGTACCTCTGCTTCAGCCGAACAAATGTCACTAATCGTCAAGCTTTGTTTCAACAAGGGGGGGGAGGGGGGGGGGGGGGGGGGGGGGGGGGGGGTGGGGGTGGGGGGGGGGGGGGGGGGGGGGGGGGGGGGGGGGGGGGGGGGGGGGGGGGGGGGGGGGGGGGGGGGTCGAACCTTCATGATAGCGCGGGACCTTTGAACCTCACCATAGACTGAATAGCTCGCGAGCCTTGTCCGCCCGTTTCCAACATGATGCGGTCCCCACCGAGTAACCGCTGCAGCAGACCATCTGCTGAAGCAGCAGAAGCAGTACTTGTGCTGCAGCAGACGTAAAACTGCTGCAGCATAACGATATCAACCCCCTCACACAGGCCTTCCTGCCCCCCAGCCATCAGTGCCACCCCATGCCCCACAACGCCAAAAGCCCCCCCCCCAAAAAAAACAAGCATGGGAGACGTTTTATCCTGTATGCACATAGACATATGTGCATACATGGTGCATTCATGAATACACGTATTCACATACGGCATGCCCGGGTATGTGTACGCCGTGCCAGCCAGTTTAGAACCTTAAAAGAGGTATCCATCTCTATCTAGGTCCTCTTATGTTGGGTCTGCTGGCCCCTTCCTCCCAAGGGACCCACCTCATGCCTAAAGGAAAGGAACTGATCTAAAATTCTAAATCGTTTTTTTCTTTTTAATCTAAATCAATTATTAATTCATTTTCATTTAGTAATTATTAATTGATGAATTACAAATTGAAATCAATTAATCATTGATCTGAAGTTATTCATTATTTAAATTAGGGACAATTTTTCTGCCGCACCTGTAATTACGATGATTTTGCGTCACGCCCCTCCGATGGCCCACTTACCTTGTCATGCCCATCTGACCACGATTCAAATTTCCCATAAAACCCCGGCGTCGGCTGGGCCTGGAATACTGTTGTTATACTCCTACCAGTACCCATTCCAAATTTGCAGTACGCCCCTACCAGATCGCTGTCGAGTACCAGCACCAAAATTTCCCAGATGCCCTTATCGGCAGGGTGCATGTTTTCAGTGCACCTCTATGGCTCCGCGCATGCAGCCACTTCATATCTCTCTCTCTCTCTCTCTCTCTCTCTCTCTCTCTCTCTCTCTCTCTCTCTCTCTCTCTCTCACACACACACACACACACACACACACA